ATGGGCTGTTCCCTCCTCTCTGGCCCACGAAGTGCCCCGTTGCCCTGCCGGGCCCTGGGCTGCCCACTGTAAGGGCCCCCATTAAATCCCCGTTGCAAGCCCAGAGAGCCCCTGCCCCTACAGCAGCTGGCTCACTCCAGCTGAGGCCCTAGGTTCAAGGCCTTCCTTGATGGAGATGGAGGAAGGAGCAGGAGGCAGGTGGGAAACAAAAGCCTCCAGGAGGACTTTTTGAAATGGGGGGCAGTGGAGGGGCCGAGCGGGAAGACAGACATCGCTGTCAGACAGTGGAGGGTCTCACCCTGCTGCCACCAACCTCCCAGAACAGCGGTGAAGTGCTCTGGCTCACAAGTCAGTCATCCTGGGACTTGAATCCTGGCTGCGTGACACTGAGCAAGTGACTCAACTTCTCTGCGTCTCCACTGCTACCTCTGTAATGTAGGGACAGTGGTCCTGCCTGGCTTGTGGGGGTGACTTGACACATCAGACACACTGGAATGGTGTCTGCACATAGCAAGTGGTCCACTGAGGTTAACTCTTGTCATCATTGTCTTTATGCTCCAGGGGACAGTCCTGCCTGGTCAGGATGGCCTGGAGGCTGTGCGTAGGAGCTGAGGCTGGGGTGGAACGAGCTGGTAGCCAATGGCTGCTCAGCTCCAAGAGCACCGCACCTGGGGGTACCATGCCTCTTTCCTTCCTCTCCTGTGACTCCCTTCCCGCCACAATCATTCTAAATCCCCACCCTGAATAATCAGAGATGAACTAGGCTGGGTGGGGCTGGGCATGGGGTGCAGCAAGGTGAACACGGAAGGTTGAGAGGTGGGAGCTCCAATCCCTGAGACCTCCCAGAAGCCTCTCCTGAAGACATCAGGTCTGAGCTGTCGTGAGGCTGAGCAGGTTGGCCTGGTGGACCAGTGAAGGCAGCAGTGGCAGGTGCAAAGGCCATGGGGTGTGTCCTGGTTGTCCTTGGGTTCCAGGGTCTGGTCACCAGCGTTCAAATCCTTGCTCTGCTACTTACTAGGTACACAATGCTGGACATGAGACTTCCCTTCTCTGTGCCTCGGTTTCTCCTTTTGTAAGTGGGAAGGGAGTGAGAAGCAACGCTCCTTACCTGTTAGCGTTGCCGGGAGAGGTAAGTGATGTGTGTATAATGCTTTGAGCAGAGCCTGTGAGTGAGTCAAAACTAACATCCTGTGAATCATCTGGAGAGCTCTCTCGTATATTTAACCCACCCGCCTCCCCCTTCAGTGGAGACCAACTTGAGGAAATAACAGCATGAATGTGAATTCTTGATGGGCAAACACAGATTTCAAGTCCCGCTGGTGACGACCTTCTAATTGGCATTGAAAAGGAGCATTTTTCAACTGCCTGTTCAGTCCCTGGCAGCTGCCGGGTGACAAACTGCTGTCAGACGCTTTTAACAAGAATGGGGTTTCAGGAGGCCAAGGAACAGCCTGGACCAGATCTGGGATAATTGGGTCCTTCCAGAGGGCCACCAAGAGGGACACTGATGGAAACTTCCTCAACTGTGAGCCAATAACATGAGCTCAGGTATCAGCTGCTGTCCCCCCAGCGACACACTCCCTTTGTCAGCACTGAAGGTCTCCAGCATCTGGGCCGCCGCACGCCCCATGGCTGGGTGATGCTCCTGCTGAGCGCGGCCCCGGGGGCAGGGGTGCAGGGAGCCTGGCTACTCCCCTCCCTCCCGGGAAGTCGCATCCCCCTGAGGACGGATGTGGGAGGAGCCTGGCCACGCTTGCCTCTGGCTGTTGAGCTAACAAACAGCTGTTGCCTCCCGTGCTCCAGATGGATCCCGGCGCAGCGAGCGACCGAAGAGTTCTGCTAATTAAAATCAGGTTTTGACATTTGGGGCTTTTTGCTGAAGATGGGAGATTGCACTCTGCCGTCAGCGGGGAACTCAAGTGTCGGGTTCTGCCTAAATGTGGGCCCCAGATGGCTGGTCATCATGGCTCCAGACATTGTCGCGCTTTTATTTATTTATTGAATAATTGGTACTCTTTCTAATGTTCCAGAGAGGCTTTGAAGCAGCCCTAAGAACAGATTTAGTTTGATATGGAAAAAGAACCCCCCCCCACACGTGCACACACAGGCAGGCGTGCACACGCGTATCTGGAGTCGGAAAAGACTGTGTATGAATCCTGCTCTGTCCCTTTCTTGCTGTGTGTCTTTGGGAAAGTCAGTTCACCTCTCTGAGCCTTGGTTTCCTCGTTTGCACAGCAAGTGTACACAGTGCCTTCCCTGCAAGGCTCTAGTGAAGATGAAATTGGACCATTAGATAACTCCACTCAATTTGCTGTTTTATAGATGTTTCCGAAATAGGCTTGTTCAAAATGGTTCGCAGGGTACGAACAGAAAAGTTAGGTCAAAGCAAAGAAGTGGGGCAAGGGTGCCTACAGTTGCCCAGCCTGGGGCCGGTGCCCATAGCACCACGACCTGGATGGGACCTCCTAGGTCCCGTCACCCTCACCCAGACAGACATCAGTGGTTCAGGCTGAGAGGCAGAGAAACGGAGGAAGCCCCATGGAGCCCAGCCTCCCCTTCCAGGCCTTCTTCTGGCTGTCCCGACCCTCCCCAGCACCCTAGTAATAACCCCCACTTGGCTGAAGCCTGAATTTTGGGATCAAAGTGCGTGAACACAGGGAAAGGTGGTCAGAGTGAACCGGGTTCCTGGGGCTGAGGGAAGGTCTGTGCCCCCTCGCGGCTGGCGGCGCTCCCTGGGCGGCCTGCAGGCTCACTCTCCTGCCCCAGGGCCCCCCACCCACCCCGTCGGAGGACTGTTCCTGCCTGCGCACCCCGCCTGCCCCGCTACGTCCTCTCCTCCTGACCAGAGCCCTCGACTCGCTGGCTTCCCCGGGCTTTGCCGTCTTTGTCTTCCTCCTGGGAGACAAGCTTCTGAGGACAGGGGACCCCTGCTCCTTTGTTCGTGGGTGTGTCCCAGGAGCCCGCAGGGGCGCTGGCCCAGAGCCCCGCGTCCGCTCAGGGAACCTGCAAGGACAGCCAGTGAGGACGGGCCCTGCACCCGGGAGGCGCGAGCGCGCAGCATCCCTCCCGTGCAGGAGAGGCGGCCGGCGGGGCCCGGGCGCCCGGGTGCAGCTCGCTGCTGGGAATGGGAGCGTCTCGAGGCTGCCCAGGGGCCACCTCCACAGGGAGCCTTCCAGGTATTCTCGCTGAGTCCCCACAGTAATCCACCCCATTTTACGGAGGGGGAATCTGAGGCTCCCAGGTGATGTGGGGGAGTGACCAGGTGTGCAGGAAGTCATCTGGGAAAGGATGTGCGCAGTTCCCCGAAGGGGGGGACCCTGATGAACACAAACAGCACACGTCTTCAGTGGGGGGCTGGGGGGCTGGGGGACACGTGCCTCTTCTCTCAGGGGGTCCTGCAGCCCCCAGCCTGGTTCCTCTTAGGTGGTCCTCCCTGGACCCCTGGGGTGGGACTGGGGCATGATACTCAACGCTAACTGGTACATCTTCTAAAATCCTCCTTTGAATGAATAATTTAAAATAATTTAAAAGTATGTGTTAATTACGTAATTAATGCGTATTTGTATGTAATGTAATGCATAATCAAAACACTAATTGCAGAGAATTGGGGGGTAACCTCATATTCAGAAGCACATTAAATTGTCCTTAACCCCAGATTAATGAGGATAAGCATTTTGAAGTAGCTCCTTCCAGGGGCGTGTGAATGTGAGTGTGGCTGACCAGGAATTCGGGGTAGGCAGGGGGTGCGTGGGGATCCTGCAGGTGAGTGGGGCCATCCTGAGAAGACCAGGTTGCCACCTCTACATTCCGGTGCCACCCTCTCGCCTGAACACTCAGTGGCTGACTGCTGCTGTTAGAACTGGACTCCAGCTCTTCTGTGCTCCCCCTGATCCTCCCTGTTCCCCCCTGC